AGCTTGCTAAGCCCAAAAGCTCTGAGCTTTTTGAATTTGGGTGAGACTGAGGCCAGTTTTTAATGATTCCTGAAGCAACCTGCACCAGAGTCCAATTGGAAGGGGATCAAGACCATTTCAGCAAGTTAGACTCGATCCAGTTATTTGGTCTGGACCAGATTTTGCTGGGCTTAAATCAGACCTGCACAAAAGATCAGAACCAAGAGGGGGAAACAAACTCTGGTCGATTTAGCTTAATAGGGCTTATTAGTGCTTTTTATAAAGCTATGTGCCACAGAAAGGGCTTTAGAAAAAATCAGCTGATTATAACAGACTCTTTCCCTTCCTAGCCACCAATAAAGAACACAGTCAACAAAAAAAAAAAAAAAAAAAACAGAGCATAAATAGATTTATGGAGGAAGAAGACAGAAGAGATCTTACAACGGATTCAGAGGATAGCTATCATTTTTTCTATCTTGTTTGAGAAAATATTCAAGCATAATGTCAAACATAGAGGATTTTTTAAAATGACAATGCCCATAACAGAACATTCTAGAATAAGGACAGAAACATCTTTTTAATATGTAGTCCCTCAGGTTATCCTAAAAGAGTCAACAAATATAATAGAAATACATAGAATTGCAGGTTCTTTTCTTTTTAGAATTATAACTCAAAGTTTATTTATTTCAATAACTCAATTCAATAATGCTCACTTTAGTGCAGCTCAGTCCATAGATCTCTGATGGATAACTTTTTCTTTCTATAGTTTCTTCTTGTGCAAATGCTGCAAAGCTTCCTCTCTGACAGTCAATTTCACACATCTGCGACTCAGCACCTGTGTCTTACCTTAATACCTTTCCTGTGATAATGCCCCTCTAGAAGTAGTGTTATCATTCTTCTATCTCCCATTAAGTGAGATCACATTGTACGATGTATTTCTAATATGAACTGTTTCACATGAAACACATACTGTACATACTATTCTCACCAAACTGTGATAACTTTGATTAAATTCAGTGTAAACAAATGCCATATGTTGCCACCCCTCAAAAATTCCTGCCCCCCTCTCGCCACCCCATAAATATTTTTCTCGATCCGCCCCTGGAGCTTTGGGCAAGCTGTCAAAATAAAAGCAGCCAGTGGGAGGAAAAATATTTTAAGTACAAACTATTTAACTATTTAAACAGGCAGCGGTGATTGTAGACCAATTTTACCAGGGGGGGTCAGGATAGGCCCGTCAGCCCGTCCTATGACTTAGTACCCAGGAAGTAATTTTAAGCCTTAAAAGGTCGGTGACCCCTGATTAGCATCTAAGAAATAGATTGTAGATCCTCTTTGAGTAAAACAATCAAGTATGTTGGATAATGTTTTTCAGTTATGTGGACAGGGATGCTAACTCTTGCAGCCTCAGCTTTAGTCTCTTTCTACTAAAAATAGGGAAAAGCTGTGGTATGACCATGCAAGACTGAAGCAGAAAGATTTAAAAAGAGAAATATCAAGAGCAATATAGTGATAATCTTAAGAATGTATATTAAAAGGCTGGATGAATGGAGTATAACGGGGATATACACTCACCGGCCACTTTATTAGGTACACCTGTCCAACTTCTCGTTAACACTTAATTTCTAAGCAGCCAATCACATGGCGGCAACTCAGTGCATTTAGGCATGTAGACATGGTCAAGACAATCTCCTGCAGTTCAAACCGAGCATCAGTATGGGGAAGAAAGGTGATTTGAGTGACTTTGAACGTGGCATGATTGTTGGTGCCAGAAGGGCTGGTCTGAGTATTTCAGAAACTGCTGATCTACTGGGATTTTCACGCACAGCCATCTCTAGAGTTTACAGAGAATGGTCCGAAAAAGAAAAAACATCCAGTGAGCGGCAGTTCTGTGGGCGGAAATGCCTTGTTGATACCAGAGGTCAGAGTAGAATGGCCAGACTGGTTCAAGCTTATAGAAGGGCAACAGTGACTCAAATAACCACCCGTTACAACCAAGGTGGGCAGAAGAGCATCTCTGAACACACAGTACGTGGAACTTTGAGGCAGATGGGCTACAGCAGCAGAAGACCACACCGGGTGCCACTCCTTTCAGCTAAGAACAGGAAACTGAGGCTACAATTTGCACAAGCTCATCAAAATTGGACAATAGAAGATTGGAAAAACGTTGCCTGGTCTGATGAGTCGAGATTTCTGCTGCGACATTCGGATGGTAGGGTCAGAATTTGGCGTCTACAACATGAAAGGATGGATCCATCCTGCCTTGTATCAACGGTTCAGGCTGGTGGTGGTGGTATCATGATGTGGGGAATATTTTCTTGGCACTCTTTGGGCCCCTTGGTACCAATTGAGCATCGTTGCAATGCCACAGCCTACCTGAGTATTGTTGCTGACCATGTCCATCCCTTTATGACCACAATGTACCCAACTTCTGATGGCTACTTTCAGCAGGATAATGCGCCATGTCATAAAGCTGGAATCATCTCAGACTGGTTTCTTGAACATGACAATGAGTTCACTGTACTCAAATGGCCTCCACAGTCACCAGATCTCAATCCAATAGAGCATCTTTGGGATGTGGTGGAACGGGAGATTCGCATCATGGATGTGCAGCCGACAAATCTGCTGCAACTGTGTGATGCCATCATGTCAATATGGACCAAACTCCCTGAGGAATGCTTCCAGCACCTTGTTGAATCTATGCCACGAAGAATTGAGGCAGTTCTGAAAGCAAAAGGGGGTCCAACCCTTTACTAGCATGGGGTACCTAATAAAGTGGCCGATGAGTGTATATTCTGGAAGTCTAAAAAAATGTAGATTGGAGATATTAGATCAGACATTGTGTTGGAGAATATGGTCATAGTAAGGAGAAATTACAGCCTAAATGATTATGTGCTCTAAACCTAAAAAAAAATAAAATAAATAAATCTTGGCAGAGAGACGTTAGCTTATATTTATCATAGAGAAAAGGGTTAACCAAACAAACAAATCAGAGTTTAGCCCAAGTCAAAGAGGTGAACAACGTCTTGGTCACAAAGTTGGAGCTTCTATTGAAAAAGACCAATCCAGGAAGTCAACCAATGCAGATTCAGGCCAGGGATCAAGTGTTTTTGGTAGAGGGGCCAGATGGACATGCCTGCCTGGTTGACTTTTACAAAAAACTAAGCAGAAAGATATTATTGGAGCAGAGGAAACATAACTTACTAGTCTGTTTATACTAAAATAGACCATTCTTGTCATTATAACTACAAGTGTCACAAAACAAAGGCACTGCTGACGGATATTGAAAATACATGGATAGTGTGTTTTTTGTGTTTCTATCACAGCAGTTTATGGTATATTTACTTGTGACAAAAAAGGTACAGATTGTTTGGCTGATTTCAGGGTACATCGGAAGAACTAGATTATTAAACATTTAAGGGGGGAGGAAAATGTAAACCATTTTGGAGTGAGGTTTTCAAAATCCACTACAGAAGAAAGGGAAGTACTGTGAATACTTTCCTGCTGCAGCTCTAGTTAGCCGATAGTATAATCCCTCTATTTTAAAAGTTAAAATAGAAATTACACTTATGTTTAAAGTACTGTTCAGTAAAACTGAGCTACTATAATTTTATATACATGATATAAGAATACTATTAAAACAATTTTTGATTTTATTTGCTTAGTTAAGTAAAGGGAAAAAATACACACATTAATACCAAAAACAGATGTTTTCAAACCTTTATTTCTATTAAATATGATAATTTACTGCTTCGGGATTCAAGGTTGGAATCTCATATCAGCTAAATAAAAAAATACATCAATTTCAGTTTATTCATCCATCCATTTTCTGTCACGCTTACCCCTGCTGGGGTTGTGAGGGGTGCCGGTGCCTATCTCCAGCTGTCTACGGGTGAGAGGCGAGGTACACCCTGGACAGGTCACCAGTCCATCGCAGGGCAACACAGAGACAAACATGAAAAACAAGCATTCACACACACTCTCACAACTAAGGGGAATTTAGAGAAGCCAAAAGCCGGAGTACCCGGAGAGAACCCACACATGCTCAGGGAGAACATGCAAACTCCATGCAAAAGAGGCAGTCTGGGAATCGAACCCGGATCTTCTTGCAGCAACGTGGCAGTGCTATCCAATGCACCTCTGAGCAGCCCACAGGTTATCAATATAGCGCTAAGTCACTACACAAGTCATCTAAGAGCCCTTTACAGAGACAGCACAGTCAGATTGGGTAAAAGTTTCTATCAAGGAAAACCTGTTGATTGCAGTGAGTCATTGACTTGCAAGACATGCTGCAAAAAACAAACAAACAAAAAAAAAAAAAAGAAATTGCAGCGAGCGAGAAATAATAAATAAAAAGTAGGAATCACCACATTTTTTTCTTTCATTAAAAAGAATACAACGTATATTATAAAAATACAAAACTTAAGAAAAAAAGGAAAATTTTAAAGAGACAGCCTCATTCTACTACAAGACAGTCCCTTACATCACATTAACTTTAGCATTTTGCTGATCAAAAACCAGAAATTTTGACATGTCACTACATAGTTTTTGTATATGTCCATATTTGTCAGCTAACAGAGATAAAGAGGAGTAGAAGATTTTGAGTTCCGTTTTTGAAACTTATTACTGAAGGTTTTTTGATTTTTCCATTTACATACATGTATGTTATATCTTCCCATACTTATAACAATATTGACCATCTCAAAAGGTGTTATATTATTTTTGTTATTTCACCAAATATGCAGGTTCTGCCAAATGCAACATGTGACTGGACACGAATAGAAGAGATGTTGAATAGTTTCTGGTTCTTCGAGACAAAATACACAGGCTAATTTGTGTATTAATGTTTATTTGACAGTCAAAACATTCACTGCGTGTTTAAATAGTTGCAGCGTCGGCGCCGCCAGGTGTCGCTGTCCACCAACATCTCTCTGGTGAGTGAGATAACGGGAGAGGTGCGATGAACCCGGGGATGAACACAGTCAGTATCATAAAATAAGGGGAACACCTTGAGAGAGGCGCAGAGGAGTCGCCTGCGGAGGAGGACCGGCGGCGGAGCGCAGCCCCGGGGGCCAGAGTGGCCCTTGTTCAGGGGAGAGCCCACGTACCGCAGGAATGTGCAGCTGAGAAGCACATGCTCGGACATTACTCTGCCTACTGCTCCTGACGGTTTTCAAGTCCTCTTTCAGAACAACTGCCGCGCCTTCGGACGGAAGCCTATAATTGGATGCGAGCCAATGACGCGCTGAAAATAACCAGGTTAGCGCAAAGTACCGGTCCATTTTGGGGAGGGCCCAGTCAGCGTGAGGGCGCAGCACCATATATCACCTCCTTCCAGCTGTTTACGAATATCCTGCTTGGATTTTTCTATCATGGCAATAGTAGCAGCAGCAAGAGGAGCAGCCCTTTCCCCTTTTCTCTCCAGCTTTCCAGCATGGAAACTGGAGGACTGCTCTGGGTGCTCGCAGGGAATCTCACGGCGACGGGAACGCAGATCTTTTTTTCTTTAAAGGGGAGGGAGGGCAGGAGATAGGAGACTGGCATAAGGCAAGACTGTTGCATGTTTTTTTTTTCTTGGACACAGAGGAAAAAAGGACAGGCCAGGGGTTGGACTGTCCGACTTTCCCCCCTCCACCCACAAAAGGGATATTCTTGCACAAATTTGGGATGCGCCCAACACAAAGTGATCACATATTAGTTGGGCGGCGGTGGAGCTGGACGGTGAAGTTAAACTTCATATCAAAGAAGCAGTTTCTGGCAGGCAGACAGACAGGGGGGGGCACTCAACCCGCCGGATGGCCCCCATCGGCTGCGGGATGCTGACACCTGTCCGGAGCGCAGGTAACCGCAAACACACCAACAGGCAGCATGCATTGATCCGCTCATATCTCTGCATCAGATGCGGCTTTCCGGGGTTAAAAACTGTTGTAGTTTCGTCGCACTGACTGCTGAAGATGTGTGTGTTAGAGGCTGGGTCTTTGCGGGCAAGGTGAGTCCTCACTTCATTCAACTGGCCTACAAAGTCCCAGTTTCTGGCTCATGAGCCCATCACGCTCAAGACAGGCGGCTCTGATCCGGATTCATATATATATTTATTTATATATAAAACAACGGAAAAGAGCAACAGATAGACCTAAAGTCCATTCCAATAGTATTCGGATGAAATTATTTTTACTCTAACAAAGAAACGATATATAAACCAACATGTCGATTTTTAGTTCTTTGCGTCCCCCAAATTTAAATCAAGCCACAGAGGCCAAACACCAAATTAACATTTTAATTTTAACTGTAGCGGAATATCCATCACTGCATAAGATAAACCTCCATCTAGATATTTTATTGCATTACTTGTAGGCTTTTTTTTCTTTTAACAAAAAGGGTTGTGCAGTAGAAATACTTATACTGACGGCAGATTAACATGTAAAATAATTTTCATTCGACTAAAACGTTTTCTCCCTCCACAATATCAGACAGGCAACTTCAGAAGGATAAATTGTGAAAAAAATAAAAATAAAAAATAAGATTAAAATAATAAGATTTATCAATTTTAAAAGTGGCATGTTAAAAAAGCCCTTAATAAAACAATTTAAATTCTTAACTGACATCACAGCTATCAAACCCTTCTGATAATCGCTCATCTTTTGTGAAGAGCTTCAAGTCTTTGAGGCTTGAAGCTCTTGTCTTGACCCTAATCTGTAGCCCTATCAAAAACTATAAGCTACTACAAAAGGCTATATTACCTATGGAGCAGCATATCAGAAGGGATAACAGAACAAATAACAACATATACATATAAGCTGCACCAATCAAAGTTTATCATACAGTAAACCTAAATCCCTTTTTCATTTTAGCCTGATTCCACCAACCTTAGGCTTACACCTATTCTTTAAATCTAGGCACATATCTCTTTATTTATGCATCAGATATTTCTCTTATCATTATCTAATTTCAATTAAACTTGAAAATAGTGCATCAAAGTAAAAGCAGTCAGCTAACATATAGCTAGATCATATGTCCTTGGAGATCTTAATGTTGATGCCTCTGCAAAGAGAAAAAAAAATGTTCTTGTATATTAAAGTTAAATGAAGAAAGTAAAACCTATATCACTATAAAACTCATCATTTCAGTAATGGGATAAAATAATGATATTGATGTCAACTAAATAAAAGCCTGGCAAGGAGTGCAAAAATAAATAATTTCTTAAAACTGATTTAATGTAGTTTCGTGTGTTTTTTGTGTTTTTTATATATTGATACATTAAAATATTAGTAATATATTAGTTACTTAAGAAGATATTATTAGGTAACGTGATATTATGAAATCTATTGGGTTCTAGATTGACAATGAATTAAACTCGAGTATATATATATATATATATATATATATATATATATATACTCGATAAGCTCGATAAGCTATATATCTAACTAAATAGGATAAGTTACATACCTAAATGCATGTTGAGTCAAATCAGACCTTAGTCTCAGAAAATCCAATTGAAGATATTCTTTTTGCGATATTATTCTAGTTCCATGTGCTAAATCTTGCCAACAATTATCTATGCAGCACCTCATTGATTGTTTAAAAAAATGTTACATTACATCTTAGGTCAATTGCAAATCCTATCGTATAAGAACATGGAGATTAATTTAGAGACTTTGTCAATTAAAAGTTGGATAGTTTTTGTGAGCAGATCAATTTAAAACTAAGTAAAAACTATTTGTTATTTCAAAATTGAACACATATAGCTGTTTTTATCAAATATAATAAAAAAAGGGGAGCGTTTCAGAGAAATTACAAAGCACGTTATGTTGAACAAGCCCATCAAGCAGGGGGGAAGAGGTCTGGTTCGAGGCTCATTTCTATATCTGTCCTGACCCTGGCATGCCGTGCATACCACGCTAATGAATTCAGCATCCTGACACTAGATGCTTTATGTAATTAATAGAGCGCTAGACCAGGGTGGCATCTCGGTGCTGCCAGTGACACATAGGTGAGACATTCGCTGAAGTATGGGATTCGTATTTTTAAAAACACAAGGCGGGCACAGGCATTCTTACAGCCCACCTAAAGCAGCCATGTAAATGAAACAGGACCCACTGACAGCACAAAAGCAGGGATGTGTCAGCTTTTCTTTATTGGACTGTTAATACTAATCACCACCGGTTATTTTAGGTGATGTATAACACATCGGTGGCAGGTCGTTTGTTTTTACAAGCCTGCTATAACTTGTTGAGTCTATAATAAGTTGCTGTGGACCGAAGTTTATGGAAAGTTGACACTGGTTTCTAATTGAATTCCTCAACACCGTCAGCAACATCCCGGTGCTTATTAACAGTCATACACATACGACACCGTTCTCAGCAGCACGTGGAGCAGGTTTTAAAACAATCGTCAGAGCTTCGCAATCTTCAGCTGCCTCCAGCGTAGGGCCATAAAAACTCAGTGACACGTTGCAGAAAGCAGGTTAAAAATATAAATACATAAAAGAGAGCAGCCAGGAGCTGTCCATATATGCTGCAAACCTGGGCGAGTGTAAGAGCCGAGGGCCAGAGAGAGCGAGTCTTATATCCTGGTTTGAATAAAGCAGCACGGCTACAGGGAGCTCTGGGATGGTCATTCAAGTTTTGATATTAAACAGTGCTGGCTGCTGCTGCTTGCCAAACTGCTCTCAGTGGCATTTTCACATTGTTTTAAAGGCCTAAATTGACTAATCTAATCACTTGCTGCAGGGTGTTGCCCCCCCATATACGATCACATTCTCTCATTATTAGTTCAGGAGTATTTTAAATGTACTTTCAATATTTTATGATGGGTCAGTGGGTTTAGGTTGTTAGTTAAAAGCAGACAGGGGAAGATTGTATGGAAAGTGAGCAGCAGGATTGTGTGTTTACTTCTCCTGTGAAAGAACATGGAGCGTTCTTTCTCGGAAATTCTCCCCTGAACCCGTTAAACTCCCCCCTTTAAAAACGTCACTGCAAATTCCAATAAAATTGTGTCATTATAAATACACAATTCACAAATGCTGGAAAGCAAGCTACGTTGTTTTTAAAAATTTTTATTTAAATGAAATGCACAAGCCCGTCAAAAAAAGGTCGTACTCTGTAATTAGAGGCCACTTTATTCTGCTTCCACTGAGCAGATATGCTCAAAATCACGTTTGACAAGCCGGCAAGCATTGCTGTTTGATCTCAAAAGTTTGGAATGAGAGACAAATGCTAGGTTAGGCAGGAGGAGAGAGAGAGAGAGAAAAAAAAAATGAAAAGGCAGCAAGAAAAGTGAGGGACTTTTAGGGGCAGCTGTGTTTTATTAACCCAGTCATAATGCCCCTAAAAATCCTTATTGCTCTTGCAATGGTCACCAAGGCTCCCTTTGCAATATGCAGAGAATCTCCAGGCAACTTGTTGGGACGTGTCGCGCTGCACGGCCAAGAAGAAACTGGGTCTTTACGAAGGGGTCATCGACGTCACGCTGGGAGATTAGAAGATACAGAGTTTATCGAGTAACACAACACATGCAAGAAGAAACACAAGCTTTTTATTAAACGGGAGTGAGGAAAAGCTTGGAGTCGCAAATGTTTGCCAAATCATCCAAGGGGGGATACACAATGACTAGAATTTCCCTACATAGTGTCCAAATGTTTCTCTCTGCCACTATTGACCTGTGTTGTCATTATACATCTGCCTAAGCTGCCTATTAATATGCAGACAGGGAAGCCGACACACTGTGTCCTTCTGTGTTTTGACATTGCCATAAAGTACCAAGGGAAATGCTCCAAGACAGACAGAAAGAAAGACTGGCAGATATTCTGAAAAATTGAGTCTGCTGGTAGCCGTCAGCGCACATCTGCACAGTCTTGGAAGACGGCAAGATAGAAATGCAGGCTGTACACACTGACAGGAGAGAAGTCATGCAGGAAGACAGAAAACTGACAGGCAGGAAAAGAACAAGGAAAACAGACATAAAGGAGGGGAAGACTGAGAGACAAGCAGGCCTTGAAGGACTGTGATCGAGGCCTGGGTGTGGTGTGGTGTGGTGGGCCGTCATGGCTGGAGAGTGGGTGGTGTGGAGGCCTCGGTACTGGTAAGTGAGTCACCAGAGGGAGTCTGTTTGGTGGAGTTTGTCTGTGGAACTGCTGCCACTGGCGGAAGGAAGAATCGTCTTCACTGACAAGGGGAGAGGGCGTGAGGGAAAGTGTGGATGATGACTCAGGGCCATGAGCCACATGGTGATGAGGAGGAATTACTCATCAGAGCATGTGGAACCTCATACGGCTATCACAGGACAGGCTGCGTGCTTCCCCCAAGGCTGTCACTGGGCCGACATCGGCCCCCAAAGCTCCAGCTCGACGCTGGCCGAGAACAAGTCAGAAAGTTGGAACAGGGGGAGCCTTGGGTATTGCTTTTACCTCTTTCATAAAAGCAGGATCTCTCAAGCTGGGGGGCAATGTTAACAGTCATAAGGCACAACGATTGATAAATTGATTCTTTGGCAAAGCTAAATGCACTCCACTTGCATTGACTCACACAAAATTTCCCCTGAATGTTCCGTGTCTTGTGACTGATGACTATATCTAGGAAATACTGCATTGCTATTTTACTAAAAACATTCAAATTCAAACTGTGGATCACTTTATAAGTTTAGGTTAAGTTTATAGTCTTATTTAGATGCATGGGGATGGGGTTTAGCCTTATTGAGTAGGATTGTCATTTCTTGGAACAGCAGAGTGTGGGAGGTCAGACTGGCCTAGTTCCTGGTTTAAACTCAGAATGAGAAGCATTATCCAGGGTAAATTCTCAAACACGGGTTTTACCTCATTCAGCTTCTGCTTGCGGTCAGGG